CCCCGCCCCTGGCGCTCACCTCGGTGAAGTGCTAGCTAAGCTGGACGCACAGCTGGGTGTAGTGACCCTCACGACCGAGCATCCTTGCCCAGCGCCAACCACCCTTGAACCTAGCGTGAAGCCTGGGGGAGACTTGGCCACCAGCCCCTGGTCCCGCACCCCGGCCCTGGTGCCCTGGTCCCGCGCCCTTGGCTCGGCCCACCCTGATGGAGTGTTCCGCGGGCCGGCGCCAGGGACTCAGCAGCAAGGAGGGCTGGACGCCACCCGTCCCTTGGTGGAGCTCAGGGGCGAGAGGGAGCCCAGGAGAAAACAATTAAACCAACAAATCAATCCGCTAATCACAGGTTCTGTGTTATTTAATTACCGAGGGTGATTAATGGCTCCTGCACCCGAGGAGCCGGGCAGGGCCAGCAGCGCCTCGCGGCGACAGCACGCTGGTTCCTAAGTCCACCAGACGTTGGCAGGTCGTCCAAGGGTCTCCGGCTGAGGAAGAGGCTCCTATCGGGGCCGGCCACCCTGGCTCTGCCGAGGAGCCCACCGCGCCACCCCGCAGAACACAGACGGGGCGCCCGCTGCCGCCCACCCCCCCACCCCGGGGAGGAGAGGAGGGAGGCCAGGGCGCTGCTTTAGTTCACATTCCACACGAAATATGAACACCACTGCCTGCAGGAGCCAGGTGGGCAGGTCACCAGGGGCCAGCTAGAGAGGAAGAGGGAGCAGCACCCTCGGGACCCCAGATGTGCCTGCCACGCCCCCCTCCCCTTTCCGAGGGCCTTGGGCATCTGGGGGATGGGCTACCATCACTCACCCCCATGAACACACTCAGGACCCCCTCCCGCCTCTGGAGCCTGACCACGCAGGTCCCCAGCTGGGGAGAGGCACCCCTCAGCCCTCCTCATGGGACAGTAAGGGACTGGTCCCCAACGGGTCCCCAACGGCCAGGGCCTGGAGTCAGACCCAGGCTTCCCAAACAGCCCTGAGCCTCAGTTTCTCAATCTGTAAATGGACCCACTGGCCACCCCTGCCTCACGGAGGGACTGTGAGCACCAAGGGAGCACTGCGCACTCGGCAGTGACGGCCTCAGGTGGTCAGTGACTGAACCCACCACAGAGCAGGAAGGCTTCACCCAGTCGGGACAGAGTGGAGACGGCTAGGTTGGTTGGTTGGTCTATTTATTTATTTGGTCCCAGGGATGGAACTCAGGGGTTCTCAACCACGGAGCCCCACCCCAGCCCTGTTCTGTGTTTTATTTAGAGACAGGGCCTCCCTGAGCTGCTCAGGGCCTCGCTGTGGCTGAGGCTGGCTTTGAACTCGGATCCTCCTGCCTCAGCCTCCTGAGCCGCTGGGATGGCAGGCGTGGGTGTCCCTGTTCAGCCACCTCTCGTCCCTGTTCCTCTAATGCTCTCTGGTAGCCCCAGCCTCTAATGGTCTGCCTGAAACCCACGTCACCTGGGAGGAAGGGCAGCCAGGAGAGGGCCCGGGAACGCCCTGGAGCCCCCCTCGTGGGCACAGGAAGAGCCACCGACCACTCTCCACCTGGAGACCCTCTCTGAGCCGCAGTGGACTTCTTTGGCCATTTCCTCCCTGTGTCAGGGACTCGATCCTCAACAAAGCCTCCGCTGGGCTGCTCGGAGCCCTCCTGACCCACAGGCCTCTTCCTCGCCGCTGTCCATGGCCTGCAGAGCCAGGTGACGGCCAAGCCGGGTTAGCAGGACCTGCCCCTGACCCCGGAGACCTGATCCAATTCATCTTGGTAACTGTCCACCCTTGTGCTGGCCCTGGGCTGCAGGTCCCCGGCCACCCCACTGCACCGAGAACACACCTCAGCTTCCTTCCAAGGTCACTCCCTTCTGCTGCCGGCTCATGGAACCTGTCTTGCTCTTTAACCAAGAGTCCGGAGCAGCTTTTTTTTTGGGGGGGGGGGGCGGTACTGAGAATTGAACTCAGGGCCCCTCAATCCCTGAGCCACGTCCCAGCCCTATGTGTGTTTTATTTAGAGACAGGGTCTCACTGAGTTGCTTAGGGCCTTTGAGTTGCTGAGGCTGGCCTTGAACTCACGGTCCTCCTGCCTCAGCCTCCCGAGCCCCTGGGATGACATGCGTGTCCCACGGCACCCAGGTTAGTGCAGCTTCTCTTCGGAGCCCCTCTGAATTCAGTAGGAAGTCGGGCGAGCCTGCCAAGCCAGGGCTGGACACCCAGGTTCTGTCTGCAAGTGTAGAAAGGATGAGTGAGTGCGTGAGTGAAGCAGCCATGCGCTCCAAGGAAGCTCACCTTAGGGTGCCCTCGACAAAGTCACACTGGTCCTGAGGCTCAGGTTGCGCACTGCCTGGGGGAGGGGCGGACATTGTCAGTATCAACCCTGAACTTCCAGCCATGACAGGCTCAGGCCCCGGCACAGACACCACACCCTGGAGGAAGAGAAGCTGGGTCCTGAAACATGGGGGAGTGCGCCCAGAAGAGGAACCAGGAGGCGTTCCAGCAGGGGAAAGGGCTGAGCCGGCATCTGAAAACCCCTGGGGGCCTGGGCTGGCAGGGAGCTGCCCTTGTCATGGTTCCAAAGGATGCAACGTCAGCAACTTCATAGGGTTCAGACCATTCATTCTCAAACATTTTGGTCTAAGGACACTTTTATATATCCTCTTAAGAATCATTATGAACTCCCCAAAGCATTTGTTTATGTGGGTTGTGCCTGTGAATATTTATGACGTCAGAAGTCATAACAGAAAGTCCTACTGAGCATGGTGGCACACGCCTGTAATTACAGCCACTCAGGAGGCTGAGGCAGGAGGATTGCAAGTGGAGGCTAGCCTCAACAATATAGCAAGGCCTTCATCCACACAGTGAGACCCTCTCTCAAAATTAAAGCATGCCTGGAGATGTAGCTCAGAGATAAAGTACCCCGGGTTCGATCACCAGCTCCAAAATTAGACAGCTAGAAAGACAGGTAGATAGGTAATAGATACGACTGAGAACATTTTTAAGCAAAGCACACCTTAAGCACACATCCAGTTACCGTCAAAGCAAGGCCTCCATCCACGTCCCAGAGGCTCTGCGAAATATTTGACCCATGCAGCAGGAATCATATTTGATACAAAACTCCTTCCGAGATGCTATTGTGCCCTGAGAAAGAAAAATCCAGAGACTCTCTTCACATTATGGCAAAAATAGCTTTGAACTTGAGAGTCTCCCGAAAGGGCCTTGAAGCTCCCCGAGAGTCCCACTCTGAGAATCGCTGACATCACCTAATCAAATCCAAGGACCCGGGGACGCCTTGAAGAGCAGAGTGGAGTGGCCGTCCAGCCAGGCAGAGGCGCCTCCCCAAAGCCTCCCTCTGCCCTGCAGCAGCAAATGACAGCCAAGGGGACACTGGGTCCTGGGGGTCACCAGGAAGAGTGGGAGCACCCGGTGGCAGGGGGCAAGTGGCACGTGGGGACCCTTGCAAAGGAGGGAGTGTCACTTCCAGGCTCCCTGCCGCGTGCTCACGGGAGATGCTGACCATGCGCTGCCCCCACCGTCTGCCGGGAGCACCTTCAAGACACCGGCCACGGGACGAGGGCTGGTCCCCGCGGCACTGGCCCAGGCACCCCTTCCTTCCATATGTGTCTCCATCCACCTCCAGAAGAACAGGCATCTCTGCCTTTAGGGGGAAGAGGGGGACACTGGACGACTTTTCCAGTGTCAACAAGTGGGGGCTTCGAGGGACAAACCTGGAGATGACACTGCAGGGTTCAGCCACATGGGGCTCTTTGGCGGTCTCCTGGATACTGAGGTTAGCAGCTGGATGAGGAATCAAGGGTACTCTGAGACCGTCTGGATCTTCCTTCCTTTCTTTTCTTGCTGTGGTGCTGGGGATGGAACCCAGGGGGCTCTACCACTGAGCCACATCCCCAGCCCTTTTTATTTTCTCTTTTGAGACAGAGTCTGGCTCAGTTGTAGAGGCTGACCTCAAACTTACGATCCTCCTGCCTCAGCCTCTCAAGTAGCTGGGATCACAGGCACGCGCCACCATGCCTGGCTTACGGTCTGGTCTTGAATGTCACTCAGAGGCTCACGTATGAAAGTCTTAGTCCCTAGGATGGAACTATTGGGAGGGAGTGGAAGTTTCCATAAGTGGGACTCACGGGGAAGCCCTGGATTCGTGGCTCCTGTGCAAGCCGGACATGGGGGGACGTCAGAGCGCAGCTGAACCCCAGAGGCCCTCTCTGGGCCGCTGTGGAGCATTCTTTCCTCCCAGCTCCTACAGGGGGCTTAAGCTGATGTGAATTCTCTTCCCAGGAAAGGAACAGAGGATGAGGGAGAGGGCGCCCTAGGGAGCCCCAAGTTAAGGGGGGGGGGCCTCAGGCCCAGCCTCGCAGCTGTGGGAGAGTGGGGAGGGGGCGTCTCCAGCCGCGGCTTCTCCTGCAGACTCAGCAGCTGCTAAATTAATGAGGTATTACCCGAGTTGGAGGAAACAATTAGGGCAGTTAGCACCAGAGATAAAGCGAACACTTTTTCCATCAAAAAAATATTAAAGGTAATTCAATTGGAAAAGCGGCCACGGGAGGGGCCTGGGAGCCGGAGGGGCGAGGCCGCTGGCGGCTGAGGCTGCGCAAGACGGATCCAACCAAACTCAAGTGTGGGTTTGAGGAGGGGGTTCCCGGGGCTCCCCCGCGGGGCTTGGACAAACAGGTCAATGTCCGCCTTCGTTTCCCATCAGCGAGGGGTGATGTGCACGTCCCCCGGTTGGCAGCCCCGGAGTGAGTGATCGATAGGGCAATATCTCCAAGCTAATTAACTCAGAGCGCAGAGGTACTGATTTCTTCATCGCCCGGGACCCGCAAAAGACGGGCCTGGGTGGTGCTCCAAGGCCTGGTCCTCCTCCCGCCCCCACTTCACTAGTTGAGGTTTTCCTACAGTGCTTCTGCCCACCCAAGGCATCCTCACTGTGCTATTTGGAAACACTGATAATAGTAAAAAATAATATTCAATACCTAACGTCAAAAAGCTCTGAGCATCAGACTTCAGTGCTATCTTATTTCATCCTTGACACGATGCCCTGTAGCAGGCTCACTGATGACCGCCATGTTCCAGATGAAGATACTGAGGGTCAGGGTGGTAAAGGGATGACTCAGGATCAAATGACTGAAAAATGTTAGAGTCAGAGTACGAACCCAGGCTTCCTGGAATCCTGATCAGTAGTCTTGACCATGGATTCTGAGAAATACCTGCCAAAAAGGGTCTTCTACAAGCTGTGACCCACCAGGGCCGAACTTCCGTTTATTCACTTATTCTGCCCCAATGAGTAGCGAAGAGCCCAGCGCTGGGTTAAGCAACAGAAGCAAAAGCAGGGAAAGGCAGACACAGTCCCTGTCATCAAAGAGCCACTGGTAGGGGAGCAGAAAGGAGCCCCCAGAGCAGGGAGAAGCAGGGTGGCCAGGGAGAAGTGGCAAATGAACAACGGGGTGAGCTGAGACAGGACACGGCCTCCTCAGGATAACTGTGGGGAGGCATAGACCAGAGCCCAACCCTCCTGGGGCCAGCCCAGAGCCGCTGGACCAGCCACACGGCCTCTCCCGCCAGATGGAAAGGGTCACGGAGCAGGAACCAGGCCTCTCACCACACCCCAGCACCCAGGCCGGGTGCATAGGAAGCATCCACTGAATGAGCCTCGAAGAAGCACTGGAGAGGGACTTCACCCCTCTGGAGCACCTGGGGTACCCAGCACCATGACCTTGACCTTGAGAACAGCCACTTGAAGGAGCCTCGTTCTCTGTGAGATTCTTGGATTTTATTCAGAGACAGGGTCTCGCTGAGTTGCTTAGGACCTCGCTGAGTTGCTGAGGCTGGCTTTGAACTCACCATCCTCCTGCCTCAGCCTCCTGAGCGCTGGGATGACAGGTGTGCGTCACCGCGTCCGGCTGAGACTCTTAGTTTTCTCCACCGTTCTTCCCTGACTCACGGCCCCCAGGCCAGTCTCACCAGGCCCTTCCCCGACCCTCGCCCACTCTTTTCCTCTCCCGTTCTTTGGTCTGGCCTTCCTGAGGGCCCACCTGGTCTGCCCTCCTCCACCTCTGCAGCTGCCTGCTCTCTGATGCCCCCTTCTCTGGACCATCTCTCCGCCTGCTCATTACCTCTGACTGGTGCTTTTCAGTGATGCCTGACACCAAAAGAGACAGAGACCTGGTTCCTGTTTCCCTTGCCTGTGGGATCCAGGTGTAGAATCCTTGCTGAGGAGACTCCCAGGGGCCTTGGTCCTTCCACTCTGTTTACATACCTGAAAAACAAGCAGATGACCTGTAATGAAGGATGGCCCGTCTGTGGCATCTCTACCATTGCTCCCTGCTCCTTGGTCCAAGCAGACATTACTAATCAATCACCAATCCTCCCTCACCCCCTTGCCCTGCGACTGGATGTACATTGGGGATTCTCCTTCAGTGCAACTTTCTGAGCAACCACAGTCGAGTAATGCAAAATTTATGCACCAGACGAAATATATTTGCTACTTCCCCATGCAAAAAAAAATAAAGTTATAAGGAATTTTCCTCTGATCTTTGGGGATCAGGAAGATGCAATAAGAAGCGGTTTAGGAGACTGAGGTCTAACTTCTCAGTTGTGCAGCCTTTCATAAGCTCGACCTTCATAAGCCTCCTCTTCCTTCTCTGTAGGACGGGAGATGGCACATACGCTGTGCCTTGTACAGGTGGCCCTGCTATTTACCTGTTGTGAGAGGTAAATCTGCTCATCGAGCTGGCTCTGATTGTGTGTGAATGTAAAGTTATCAGGCTCTGAGGAAGGAGAGCTGAGGACCTCTCCTAATAGTGGGAGAACTTGGTACATTGATTGAAAATATATTTTTCAGTCCTGGCACGGTGCGCACTCCTGTCACCCCAGTGGCTCAGGAGGCTGAGGCAGGAGGATCGCAAGTTCAAAGCCAGCCTCAGCCACAGTGAGGCTCTAAGCAATTCAGTGAGACCCTGTCTCTAAATAAAATACAGAATAGGGCTGGGGGTGGGGCTCAGTGGTTGAGGGCCCTTAAGTTCGATCCCTGGTACCCTCTCCAAGACAGCGTTTGCCTTCCTCTAGTTTCTAACTGTGCTACCTTAATGCAGGTGGCCTGTACCACCTTCCCAGGGAGCGTGAACTTGCTGGATTCACTACAAACCTTCCTCCTGTCCCTGGACAATGCCATGGGCTCCCGAGCATGCCCGAATCAGAACAGAGTGTTTCTGGTCCCTTGACACCCATCAGGTGGGTAGGGGAACGCCCAGCCCACCAAGCAGGAGGCCCCTTGAGGTCCCCACTCTGTCTCATTCCCAGGGGTGTCTCCAGTGCCCAGCATGGGGTCAGACGCACCACAGATTCATGCACCATCAGTGTGACCAGGAGCAGGAGGGACACCGCCACCTGCCCGCATTGTGCATTCTACAGGCCCAGCCCAGGAGAGGGTACCCACGCCTCTCTCTCTCTCTCTCTCTCTCTCTCTCTCTCACTCTCTCGGACACAATTATGTTAAAAGAGCAATTAGCAACCTTTTAAGCCTGATTGCCAACTCCCCCATTAATCACTTGCAATTATAAACCCCAAATCTTCAAAACAATTGGTCCCAGACGACCACTAGAGACAACCGCTAATGACCTGCTCTCCGAGTCTGGAACCGTCTGCTCCGTTAGAGTCTCTGTGTCACCGAGGGATGGAGAGGCCACAAGCCGCTGAACCGCCTGCCACCAGTACAGCAACCCCGAGAAACAGGGGGAAGAAGAGCCCACCCTGCGGGGCCAGAGGTCCCCGGGGAGAGGTGGCTTCCTTCCCCAGCCTCCCTCCTCCCCCGAGCCACCCCGGGCTCCGCCATCCAGCAGGGGCTTGCCGGTCCCTTCCACATGGCGAGGGCTCTCTCTCCCTAATTACTGCGGCTAATTAGCTCCTCAGCAGCCACCGCAGCCCAGATGAGGCGACCACGTGACACACTAGCCCGCGGGGCTCGGGACGTGGCTGGCTGCCCCCGGCCGTGGCCACCCCTCTGCCACACGAGGACACCCTGTGCGCTGACCCTCGTGTTCCAGGAGCGGGGGGAGGCGCAGGCCGGGCCACCCGCCCCGGTCACCACGATCGCGCTCCCCCGCTGCCCCCCGCTGCGGGCAGCCGCCACCCCGCCCCGCGCAGCAGCTAATTAAATCAATATGAGATAATGAACGGCAATTAGAGGTCCGGCATGGCGCATCTTCTCTTGTAAATACTGCTTCTCTCCCAACGGGGAGCTCTTTTTTAATAATCTGTTTGTGTTTCATTTCCAGGAGCTGCGATTCCCCCAAGAAGCACTTGGGGAAAGTGATTTGTTTGTGGAATCGCGGCCTCGCAGCCTCCTCTGCTCCCCGCCCGCCCCGCAGACCCTCCGTGTGCTGCCTCTCAGCTGTGGGTTGTGTTCTTTTAACTTCTGTTTCCTGCCTCAACAACCTGACCTCGCACCCATCCAGGCAGGGCATTTCGGAAGACAGAGCTGCACCCCCACACACATACACACACACACCCCACCCTCTGCTCCCTCTTTCTTTGTGGGGGGCTGATGAGTGAAACAGAATCCTGAGGATCACAGAGGGACTGGAGCCAGGCTGAAGACGTCCATTCCACAGACCGGAAAACTGAGGTCCAGGGCGGCCCTGGGTGGCTGACCAGCTGACCACGCCCCCTCCTCCAGCCAGCCAGCCCGCGGCGCCCAGCGGGAGGCCTCTGCCCTCAAGGAGCTGGCGACTGTGTCTGGTGAGACAGGCGAAGGCACATGTCAATTAGAAAGCAATTAAGTGCCTAATTGTGTGGCACCAACAAGCTCAAAGAGTTCAGGAAGGGAAAAGATCCTTCGGGAAGGGAGAGAAGTCGGAACCCTTTGCATCTGACTCTGTCTCCCATCAGACCTATTGGCCAAGCCCTGTGCTGCTAGGACCTCATTTGGACGCC